ATTATTATTCTTACATAATCAGTTCTTGTTTAGTAAATCAGTCTCAAAACAAGATCAAAAAGATTTATTGGCTGATATAAGATTTTAAAACTTGGTAAGATAAACAGTTTTTGCAGTGTATTTACAGTAAGTATTAGCTCAGCGATAAACATTCTCCTCTCATCACTGAGGTCCTCCATCCACATGACAGAGAGGGGAACACAAAAATGACTCAGCTGCAACTGAAATTATGGAAGGAGGACCTCAGTTTAGCTTGTTTGTCGCGCTAACGCAGAGCTAATACATATAAGGTAATATAGCGTGAGGGCTAGTGCGAAGGCTAACAGGCTAAGCTGAATAGTGCTGTACCAAATGATTATTTTCTAATCGATTTAATCTAACGATTATTTTTTTGATTAATCGATTATTCTAACAACAAATCTATGTTATTGTGATGTGAGTGCACTGGAAATTTAAAATGTTTCAAATCAAATTAACAAGAACAGTTCTTTAATATTGTAATATTTTCTGTAATTGTAATATTTTCATGAAAAACTCACCACTCTTATGACAATACGGTCGCAATGATGCTTTTAGGTACCGAAATGGAATTACATGAACATTCACGTGGTGGTTATGTAATACAGCGAATTGATAATAAAAAAATCTGCGTCGACAAATTTACATAATCAACGTCATCGATTATTTCAACTAGTCAGTGCAGCCCTACTTGTGACGTCCACGGCCTACCCCAGTTACCACTACTGTGCATGTGTGTCAAAGACAGAAAGGCAGACGTGGCAGTGGAAGGTGTCAAAGCAGTTTGGAGAGAAAAACAAAGTAAAGAACAACAACAACAACAAAAAGAAAACGATTAATCGATTATTAAATTAGTCATCGATTATTTTAATAATCGATTAGTCGTCGATTAATCGATTAATCGTGGCAGCCCTACTTGGGACCCAAGCCCATTTTGTTGAATCTAATGTGGCAGGAGGCCCAGTCAGATATTAACAAATAAAAGTGATAATTGATCTAAATCTTGTTTTAATTTGTATTGTATTTGCATTATARCTAATTGAAATGAACTTACAATTTAAGAAGCAAATACAGTACCTTATCAAATAAATGTTATGACACATAACATTTATATACTTACCAATATTTGCTGGTGGCAGTGAGGGACACGAGACATTTTAGCCTGTCTCAGTGATCCTAGGTGGGTTCAGATGCATGCCCCCTGAAAAATTTAGAAAAAATCTGCACAAAAATCTGCATTTTTAAGCCATTTAAAGCGCATTATTGAGGATTATGAAAGCATAAAATTCTTATGTATTTATTGAAAGGTAAGAACAGTGACTGAGAACTAGTCTTTGAGATCATAGGCCCTACTAGAAATTTGTCTATTATATTGTTATTTGTGTTACGCACTGAACACCATGAGTAAGTCTGTAACAAAATAGACTAGCCTGAGAAATCAAATGACACAAAAACTACAAAATACAAATACAGCTTGCCCTATACTATCATTTTTTATAAAGTCTGCATCATACTTATGTCCGATTTTGGTCATTTTGGCAAGTTTTCTTAGTCTTTTGCCTTCAACTTTCCATTTAAAATGTTTCCATTTCTCTAACTTTTGCTAGCAGCAGGCTAAGTTTCTTCTTTTATGTATTAAAGAAGTTGTTAAACATGTGACTGGCGCATTGCTACTTGTGGTGAGAAAGTGTAATGCAGCTCAGTCAATKTAAAACCAATGTCATCCTGCAACTCTCTCAGCCCATAGTTGAAAAACAGATGTTTATTTTGTGGCCTTTAAGGTGGCAATCAAGGCCCAAGGGTTAATAATATGGAATATGGAATGGTTTGAATATCTGTATTGACTTCTTCATGATCTTCCATCATTCTCAGTGTATCGCTTTGCTTCTTAGCCAYGCTGCATTTTTAACGATTGTTGTTCTTTACACTTGGGTGTGATTGACGTCAGTTGGGCTTCTTGCCGCTCTCCTCTCATAAACCTTCGTGTGACATTTTTGTWCCGTAGCATCTGACTGGCAAGCTTCATTCTCCAGGAAAGCATTTGGCACTGAAACTGTTGTAACCTCTGCTACCACAGTGTACATAGCATTTTTCAGAGTCAAGCTACAGTCAGCATAGTGGTGTTTTTTTGGGGGTAGTTTAGACCTTTCACAGGAGTAATCCATCTTTAAGGTGTCTGCGACTGCTCCCTCCACACTCTGAGACTGAGGGAGCTGAAAGTGAGATGTCACTGTGAAAAACTTTGGGAAGTAACATCAGTACACAGGAGTGTTGAAATGATATTCGCTTTAGAGTGAGTCAGAGAATAAAACTGACACCAGTAGTAAAAACGTTTACTGTGATGACTTCAGAACAGTGAAACATTTTAGCATACCTTTTCTAATGTTTCTGAAGCCAAAGGCAGTTATATTTGTTGGTAGCTATAATTCAATTTTTAATGTTGTCTTGGTTTTCCTTTTTCTCCTTCTGTGCAACAGATTCGCTACATCTCACAGACGCAAGGTTTGCCAGGAGAACATTTACTGAATGCAGGGACAAAAACGGAACGGTTTTTTTGCAGAGAGTCTGACTCACCTTATGCAGCATGGAGACTAAAGGTGAGGAGTATTTGCATATTTCACAGTTACAGAAAATTATGATTCCCTGGTCAAAACAACATGTCACTGTCTTATGTTTACTAATTCTTTAAAGTTGAATGTCACAGGTCAACTTTGAACTTAATCTACACATTTTTTTCTTTTAATTTGTAAAAMATGCTTGGAGTTCTCAAAAGTGACATTTTGGTAAAATTGTTTCAAAGTTTGCTTGTCACATATTTGRGTTTAACATTTACATGTTCCTTATGATGAAGCTTAACAAGCTTTGGGCAGCACAATGGCTCAGTGGTTAGCACCGACGCCCCACAGCAAGAAGGTCCTGGGTTTGATCCCCAGTTCGGACCTGGGGTTTTTCTGTGCRGAGTTTGCATGTTCTCCTCGTGCTTGCGTGGGTTTTCTCCGGGTACTCCGGTTTCCCCCACCCCGCAAAAACATGTACAATAGGTTGCCTTCAGGCCCAGGCCTCCCTTGAAAAAGAGATCTGAGATCTCAGTGGGATTTGCCTGGTAAAATAGCGGTAAATAAATAAAAAAAATTCAAAAACAAGTGAGAATTTTATCAGGATAGGTTTTTCAGCTGCACACATTGGTTTCAATAAATTCACTTCTTGTGTTCTCAACTGTCTTTGTAATTTGTTTTGCAGTCAACAGATGAGCATGAGACGGAGACGGGGATGAAATCGAAGGAAGCAAGGAAGTACATCTTCAGCTGTTTGGATGACATAGCGCATGTATGTTTAGCAGTGTAGACCGCAATGTTTAGAACATTCTTGCTAATTTTGTTTAAGTTAAATAACACTTTTGTGTGAAAAATGGGTATAAATTAATAAAATATTTGCATTTCAAATATTATTTAGTGCAGCATTTCTCATTCTGCTTTAGTTTTTTTCTGTTCAGTAGGTTAACACCTAATTTTATAATTATTTTTTTCACATCAGGTGAACTTGATGATGAATCTGGAAGGTAGTGACTTGCTAGCAGAAAAAGCAGACCGCCGGGAGTTTGTGGGCCTGCTGAAGAAGATGTTGCTGATTGATGCAGATGAGAGAATCGCCCCTGCTGAAGCTCTCATCCACMCATTTGTGACAATGCAACACCTGCTCGACTTTCCACACAGCAACCAGTGGGTCCTCTTTACCTGCGTTTTTTAGCCTTGTTGATGTCATTATAAATGCCCCATGTGACGTGTTGTAACGTAATGTTTTATCTGTTTTGTCTGCAGCGTAAAGTCATGTTTCCATATCATGGATGTTTGCTGGACTCGTCCCAGTGCGTATGAGGCTGCCAATCGAAACAAAGGTCCTTTTGTTAGACCTACAACTGCTGCCTCAGCCAACCACCCCTTCAGCAAGATCCCAGCTGTCCATACTCAAGTAAGCTGCTCAGGGTCTTTTCACTTCCATCCATATAATTTTATTTTTATTTTTTTCATACTTGCATAGTAATCATTTAGGCTGCAATGATTAGTCAACAAAGTCAACGACGTCGATTTATAAAAATAAGTCGACGCGGAATTATAATGTCGACGCATCATATTATTTACCCACGTAAAGGTTCATTTGTAACTGCAGTGCAATTCATGAACTGCTGGGGGCAGAATCATTTCTATTGTCTGGAGTTGGTTTGTTTACAAAAGAAGAAGGCCGTGGCGTACCACCCTGCAAACCACAGAMGAAGCCGTGGGCAAATCAAAGAGCGATAATAATGGCGGAAAAGAAAGATGATTGCATCAAAGAGGAAAAAAAACAAGATTTAAACATTTACAGTTTATCAAAAATTTCACCAAAGTAAGTAAAATACAGGCTCAGTTATTCCACGGGAGGACAGCGGCAGCAAAAACATGACATCATGAGACGCTAATAGGCTGCAGTCGTCCTCTGCAGATGAGTGAGTTTCAGAAAATTAGTTTGTCAGGTTGATGCCTTATAAATGTTATTTTCAGTGACTGATCACTTTGTGCTGTAGACAGCTGTCTATAAGTTTTGTTAGTTTATCATCAGAAAACGGTGTTTGTTGGAAGCGCAGCTATCAGATATTCTAACGTAGCTAATAAGTTAACCCCTTAACAGTCTTTGGCTACGTTCATACTGCAGGCAAATCCGACCCAAATCCGATTTTTTTGCCCCATGCGACCCATATCAGATTTTTTTATGACAGTCTGAACGCGAAAAATCAGATTTTTTTTTTAAATCCGACCCAGGCCGTTTCAGTATGCGGTTCTAAACCGGATAAATATCTGATGTTTTCAAACCAACTGCAGTGTGAACGTTCATGTCTCATTCCATCTGACTTTCATCAGTGAGGTGAAGGATCGAAAAGACACGAACCTCAAGTCTCGCTGTTTAAATCTGTAGCTCCATGTATTTACAGCTCCAAAACACAAGTCCAGTTGCTTCGACTTTTTATTTTCCATGTAGATAGTATGATAATAATGACGTCCAGCCTGGGTCGCGGAGCGTATCGATCCTAAAATTACTCGGTCGATACTTTATTTCCAAAAATAAAATGCTTCACTGGAGCATCAGGTTAGAGGCAGGTTCAGATATAAACACTGAACTAAAGAAGCAGGTCAGATAATTATTTAATCGACTGATTAAACAGCAACTTCAGATTCGACGTGCAAAAATTAGCATCCATGCTAGCTCTGTAAAGAAACAAGCCAGCTGAATGAGAAGTCACGTCTTTTACTGCGCATGCGTGTCACATCAGTGCTGTGTAGCGTTCACACTGGAGTCTGATGCAGGTCACATTTAAAATGTAATGYGAAYGTTCACACAAAAAGATCTGATTTTTTTCAAAAAGATCTGAATTGAGCATTAAGACCTGCAGTGTGAACGTAGCCAGTGATGAGAAAACACTACAGTTTGGTTTCTGCGGCTGTGTCTGAGTGGTTAGGGGAGTCGTTCTGCAACTGGAGGGTTGACGGTTTGATCCCCAGTCCAGCCGTCTCGGTTGTTGTGTCCTTGGGCAAGACACTTCACCTTCCTCGCCTACTGATGGTGGTCAGAGGGTCCGGTGGTGCCGGCGCATGGCAGCCTTGCCTCTGTCAGTGTGCCCCAGGGCAGCTGTGGCTACAGTGTAGCTTACCACCATCWGTTTGAATGTATGTGTGACTGGGAGAATGACTGTAACTATAAAGTGCTTTGGGGGTCCGACTGGGCATTATAATATTTCAGACCATGTTTTCAGACATTTCCAGAGGCTGCCGGGGGCTGTTTTATTTAAAACCAGGGTGTCAGATGACTTCCTCTGGTTCTTACCTTTAGCATGACACCTTAAATAAAATAGAAAAAGTCAAAAGACTTTTAAGGAATTTCAGGCCAACTGTTAAGGGGTCACTCAGATCTATTTTAACATTAATGTATACATAGTAAAAAAGAAGTTATAAAAAACTTGTTAAACTGCAATTAGTCTTAATCAAACAGCTATGGTACAAATAATTCAAAATATCAGCCTGTCACCAGCATGAGGAGCTGGTAACATGCCCTGCTGCACGTCCTAAATAAACTAAAAAAATAACTTTGGTTAAATTTGACTTTCAGGGACATAAAAACAATCCATCCTGTTTGAAATCTTGTTGGATGTTGCAGTTCAAAAGTTATATGACTTCAACTCCATCAAAAAAAAAAAAAAAAAAAAAAAAAAACGGGTTAAGACGAGACAGGACATAATATTAGTATAATTCAGTGATTTAATATCAATCAAAGTTTCAGGTTCAAAATCACGTTTCATGGGTTATTTTTAATTAGCTGGGGGACTTGTTATTCACAGTTATGATGAGCAGGTGAGATGAGATGTGCACTGGAGCTGGAACAGGAGATGCGTCCACAGGAAGCTTAGATAGACATCGTGACAAAAATAATCGTAGACTAATCGGCCAATTGGAAAAAAAATTGCTGATTAGTCGACTATCAAAATAGTCATTAGTTTCAGCCCTAGTAATCATTAAATTAAATAAATAACATTTAAACRAACCAAACAACAAGAGTTTGTTTTCACATTATCGCTTAAGTTAGAAAACATGAGAAATATCTGAGTGATGAAATAACAAATGTTGCAGGTTCTTGACATCCAATGTTCTGTTCTGTTTATTTGTTCCTGTAAAAACCGTTTCCTTGCTTTTATTGCCTTTCTGTATGCCGACTTGCCCATCTTATTGCGTCCTAGCACTGCTGTCATGGTAACTAAATCACGTCATGTTTCTGAGGTCATGGCAACAGTACAAATCAGTGTTGTTGCTGAGGAGAAAAGAGGAGCTGACCCCCCTTTTCTAGTTTTTGATCCTTACAATGYAAAAAGTCTCAGGGTCTAGGTTGAAATCTATTATGATGAAGATAAAAAAAACCTCCACAAATATTTCTACTAGTTGCAAAAAGCAATGTTGAATTCATCAAAAGAGGGGAAAAAAGATTTTAGGAGTTTCTGACTTTCCTATTTTGAACTGAAAACTGAAAGAATATCTGATGAAATGCTTGGCTCAGTAAATCTGATCAGTTATCATTTCTTTAACATGTCTAAAGCACTTTATAAAGGGTTTCAACTATGACAAAGTTGAGAAGACCTTGTCTGGGAAATGTTGTGGCTGTTTTATAATTACCCATTTGAAAGACTGCTTTGTGTTCACTGTCATGTGTATGGGGGCTGGCCAACATGCAGTCACAGAACAATATAGCTCTAGTTCTTGTTATCCATTAAATGTGATTATACCCAGGCACGAGAGCAGTGTTAGTGGTGAAGGAAAACAACATGCTCCTCGCTTCTTTGCTGGCCTATTTCAAACTCTTAAGTTTTATGTTGTTTGACGTTCTGTTAATTATCCAGGCTGACAAACAAAGTAACTTAAACAGTGAGACTGCAAAAAAGCTCGTCAACCTTTCAATTGATAGTCACTTTACCAGAATCTGTGATGACTGTGTGCAGTAACAAAAGGTCTATAGGAAAAGTGGAGCTTTTAAGCACTCCTTCCTAAAAATGTGGACCTTGATTATTATTTGACTTATATTGTTTTCCTATGTTGATTTCAGTCTTGTTGTTTTTCTGTCTTGTTGACAGATAAGCAAATGTTTTGCTAGAAAAACAAACTGCTGTTTGAAGTGTCGCCATCTACTGGCTGTATTATGCTATAGTTTGTTTTTTGAGCACATCAGATTAGTACAGTCATGTTTTCTTTACCCTTCTTTTTAGGGTTTAGTTCCATCGGCACCCTCAGTAATGCACCCAGGTATACCACTTCAGGCTGGGAGTGGTCAGTTTGGATGCAATGAGTCATTTCAGCAGGCTCTCATTCTGTGTCCYCCAACAATACAAGGTAGGATATAAACTGCAAATGTTAGTTGAACTAATTTGTTGTTTATTTTGTTGATTAGAGTTGGTATCTAAAGATAAAATCTTATATTTTCTGTTGCCTTTGCAGGCATCCCCACTAACGCAGCAAAACCAGCTGGCTACTCTGTGCGTATGGAGGCCTCTGTACCTCTGGTCACTCAAGCTCCCTCCATTCAGCCAATACAAATCAGACCTGGAGTCATCACACAGGTAAGGGGTCAACAAGCATAGAAAAATCARCCTACATACTGTAGGCTGAAATAAAGGGACAGAAAAGCTTAATTATTTTGTGCATTGGGTTATTTGATATAGAACAAATGTAGGCTTTGTGTTTGTTGTTAGCTAAGTTCAAAGTGCATGTTTTGGTGTTCTAACTAAAGAAAACATCAGTAAAGTGACTCATTCACTTGCTTTTCTTCACACAAACAGGCCTGGTCGAGCCGTGCACAGCAGATATTGGTGCCCACTTGGCAGCAGGTGACATCTGTGCCCCCACCGCCAACCACTCTGGCATCTGACACTGTGACAGGCTCTCAGAGAATTGGCGACTGGGGGTAAGAAACCTTTCTAGTTGAGGAGGTGGTATTTATGTATTTATAGCTTCAATATAATAGTTTTATCATTTCTGTTCTTTTATTAGTCTTAGTTGCTGTGCTTTTGGAGTAGACGAATAAGTCTGATGCAGCATGCCTGCCTCCCTAAATGTTAATATGARTCATACGTGCACTTTAAGTCAAATCATTTTGTCAAAAATTGTGCTAAATGGTTCTGGCTTGATTTTCATGGATCGGTTTTCACATTGCAGGAAAGTACGTCCCCATGGTAACCATTACAGCTCCATGATTGCACACCCTCAGCCATTCTTAACTAACCAAATGACCATGTCCGCCCACCAGCCAGTCAACATAGGCATTGCACATGTGGTGTGGCCACAGCCAGCTGCAAATAAGAGAGCAAAACCTTGTATGAACAGGTACTTCACATTAAAGACCAGATATACAGTATACTGCATTATCATGCTCCTTTCTGAATGTAATGATTTATATTTTCAAATCGTTCATAGGAGCAGCAACAACTCCCAAAACACAACCATTCAAAACTTAGCATGTCACTCTCCAAAGATGGCCGACACAGCAAAGAATGTGGAAGAGATCGAGGAAGAGGAGGCCAAATGTCCAAAGGAAGGACACTCTGTGGGGGAGGAGCAAGCAGCAGAGCAAGTGGAGGAGGATGAGGAGAACTGCTGTAAAGTGGAGCCAGACTGTGACGAGCGCTCGGGTTCACAGGAGCAGCGGCAGGCCATGGTGATCTCTGATCTAGCCAGCCCRACTGTTAGTGTCATCAGTATCAGCAGTGATGAAGAGGACGATGCACAAAGACACTCAATGGGGGAGTGAGTACTGCCGTTAAAGTCCCACGTTAAAAAAAAACAACTCAGAAGGGATTATTAGAGTTGTGTGTCTTACTTTTCTTCTGCTCCGGCACTCAGATGTAAGGGCAGCGCTGATTGTGAAGCGTGTCARAGCACCGTCAGCATGGAGAGAGTGTGTTCTCTCAGCAGCCCCGACAGTACGCTCAGCACCAGCTCTTCCACCTCAGCACAGTCCAGCAACTCTCCCTGCAAACACCCCAACAGGTCAGTTATTTACAAAAATGCTCATGTGCTGATTTAGAATTATTAAGGCTACTCCTATCACATGCATTACTATTATTGTGTGAAAGCTTCATCACATTCACACTATGGAGATCATTTTTTCTTCCGTATGTTTTTCAGCATCTTAACTCATTCCTCAATTTATACGCTATTTCAACAATTCAAATATCAAAACATTCAGCTCATTCATATGAGGGGTGCTATGACTTTTGGTATTTCAGCTATGTATACTTTTTTAGCTATTTCACTTTTTTTAGCCACTTTTTTGCCATTGAAAATTAATGGAGCTGTTTTCAACATCCTTAAAATAATTTAAAATGTTTCTAAATCTTTACAGCACCTTACACATTTTATTCTGGTTATGCTTTTTTCACTTTCTTGTGCTAATTTTAGCTACTTTTTTGCTAATTTTAGATTTTTCTGCTATTTCAGCTACAATTCTGCTTCTTTCTGCTATTCTTCTGGTTTTTCTACTTTTTTGTGCCAATTTCTGCTACTTTGTGCTATTTATGCTTCTTACAGATGTTTTCTGCTGTATTCTATTTGCTGAAATTTTAGCTAATGTGTAGCTGCTATTAGCTAAGGTTAGCTTTTCTAAGCTAAATACAAATTTTTTGTAGCTATTACAACTTTTTTTCAGCTAAGGTTAGCAAACTTGTGCTCCTTATGCTAATTAAATAATTTCCAGCTACCTTTAAACAGTTTTACTGAAAATTTGAGCTGTTGTAGTTATTTTAATACAAATTATCATTTTTATGTAATTCTACGCTTTTTTCTGCTTTTTTCCTGTTTTTGTTATTTTTCAACTATAATTATTTCAACTGGGTGCTAATTTCAAATTGTGGCTGCTACCTTTACCTTATTTTATGCTCATTTTAGCTACATTATACTACTTTAGCTATTCTGCTTTTTTCTACTTTTAATACTTTTTATTGCTACCTAGTGCTATTTATGCTTCTTACAGATGTTTTCAGCTATATTCAGCTATTTTAGCTCTTAGCTTTTAGCTGTTTTCTATATTCAACTAGATTTGTGCTCCTTTTTACTGTTTTTATGCAGTTAGGCTTTTTTGCTTCTTTCAGTTTTTCAAAGTGAGCTCACATTAACACTTTTTCTATTAAATATTTTCAGCTCAATTTCAGCAGCTTTCAGCTTAGGTTTTCAGCATGAAGCATTCACACTAGCATTTTGGCAGGAAATGCAATTTCTCTAGTTATCTTTAATGCAATAGTGAGCATGGTATTAAAGTACAATCTTAATTAAACTGCAAAAGTGAAGTATTTCATGATTTCTTACCTCCTTTTAAGCATGTCGGATGATGAACAGGAGAGCAGTTGTGACACAGTGGACAGCTCGCCTACATCGCACGGCTCTGGCCACAGCAGCAGTCCCTTTACAGAGCGCCGCTACATTGCTGACAGCAATCAGAACTGTGAGCCACGGGTTGCGTGCGTCGCCCCAGAAACTGAGCCCAGCAAGCCAACGGTTCGGACCGTTGTAGTGCCGCCAATGAGGGTGCAGAACAATAACTGTGCTGTCAGCGAAACATCTGGAAACACAGGTACGCCGTGTCATATAATGTTCTTTTCCCCCCAGAGTATAAGAAAAACGTTTTAACTTCTGAACCTAAAATACAGCTATCGGTAAATGAGAGTTTAGGACGTTTTTTTCTTCCCCAAACTGTTGTTGTCATCCACTCAGACTAATAACTAGCCCTGATTACGTCATTTCAGCCTAAGTCTAGTCACCACTGCTGCCTGTCTGCCCTACAGGTCACATGGCCTGGGATAATGCAGTGTTAGTAGGCTACAGAGGTTCTCACAGGTGATTATGGGTTCCCTATACTGATGAATTTGTTCTGATCTCTTGAGTGGATACTTGCATGGTGTCAACACCTTTTATTCTTGTTCTAGACTCACTCTGAGATTTGCTGTGTCTGTGTGGATGTGCACTTCTTAAAGCTACATGAGACACTCGTAATTATCATTAAATGATAAAGTTTCTGAGCAACAAATGCAACGCGTACACATTTACC